TAGGAGCTCTAGTGGTGTAGTGCCTAAGGCACTTGACTGCTAACCAGAAGGCTGGCAGTTCAAACCTACCAGCCACTCCTTGGAAGGAAGGTTGTGCAATCTACTTCCGTAGTAATACTGCCTCAGAAACCCAAGGAGGGGTCGCTATGAGTCGAAATCAACTCGATGGCATATTATAACAACAACATATATATAACCAACACCATAATCCCAATGCATCAGTTGTTCTTCTTCAATTTCTTCTTCATTTATCATAATGTTTGTCAGCCCAGTTGTGAGGATTATCATTTTCTTCATGTTCAGGGGCAATCCATATTGAAGGCAGTAGTCTTTGACCTTCACCAGTAAGTACTTCAAGTCTTCATTTTCAGCAAGGTTATGTCATCTGCATATGATAGATTGTTAACAAATCTTCCTCCAATCCTGATGCTGTGTTTCTCTACATATAGTCTGGTTTATCAGATTATTTGTTCAGCATACAGACCTATTATGTATGGTGAAAGGATACAACCTGCCACGGGCCTTTTCCAATTCTGAACCATGCAATATCCCCTTGTTCTGTTCCAATGACTGCTTTTTGACCCATGTACAAGTTCCACATGAGCACAATTGAATGTCTGGAATTCCCATTCTTTGTACTATTATCCATCATTTGTTATGAGCTACACAGTTGAATGCTTTTGTGTTGCTGACAAAATATAGGTAAACATCTTTCTGGGATTCTCTGCTTTTGGCCAAGATCCAGCTGACATCAGCAATGATATTCCTTGTTCTGTGTCACAAAATATTCTTCTTTTATTTGTTTTAATTCTTTAAAAATAGCAAAATCCATTCTTTGCTCACAGGCTATACAAAAACAGGTGGTGGGCTGGCTTGGGATCGTGAGCCATCGTTTGCCAACAACTTTTCCAATTGGTTCATTTATTCATTAAGCTCCACTATGTACCAAGTGCTATACAAGGTGCCATTTTCTTTCTATAATGCATTGAACCAGAAGGGAAAAATCTTTCTGGGGAAACAATCTTTCTAAGTGCCCTGGCAGAATTACTAGGCAATGACAATACATTTAGAGCTCTGTCTCTGTCTCTGTTCTTCAGCAGAGGAAACCCAAACACTGAGATTTTATTTCCTCCATCCTCCTCCAGGCACAGAAATCAATAGGGCTGATCGCGGAGGCATGTGCCGAGAGGGAAACACAATGCCCACGTGACTCCTGCCATTGAGCCCAAACATAGCGGTCCAGGATGCTAGCAGATACAAGGCTCAGAGCCTGCCTAGATGAGGCTATGTCCCCACTGACACCCAGGTGCATCTCAGGGAGAAGCAATTCCAAACGATTACATTTCAGCACCCTCTCAAGGGCTCTAAAATACGAGTTGCTCCAGATTCTCCCATTCCTGGTCTACAGGAAGAGTCCAGGCATTTCTAAAATCTATTCCAGTGGCAGGGTGACTATGACTGGCACCTCGGAGCCCACTCATTTGTGAGAGGAGTCTTTGGAGATTTGGAAGCCCCATGAAGACAGGTCCAACTTCCCCAACCAGCTGCAAAGGCTCCACTGTCTCTGGCCCAAAGTAGAGTGGGAGTCCTTGGGTGGTGCCAATGGTTAATGCACTCAGCTGCTAACTGAAAGTTTGGAGGTTCAAGTCCCCCTGGGGGTGCCTGAAAAGAAAGGCCTGGTCATCCACTTGGAAAAACAAGCCATTGAAAACCCTGTGAGTACAGTTCTACTCTGTTAGATATAGGGTTGCCATGAGTTGAGTTCGATTAGACAGCAGATAGTTTTTTGGTTTTTAAAGTAGGGTGATCAACCATCTCGGTTTGCACAGGATGAAAGTGTTTCCCAGGATCTGGCCTTTCAATGCTAACACTGGGACAGTCCCAGGCAAACTGTGACAACTGCTTACTCTAAAAGTGAGCTCCCACTGTTTCTAGTTCTCTGTCTTCCTATCTTTCTCCAAGTTCTCTCAAACACATTATACTATCTCTTTGAAGAGGAAGCTGAACTAGGCTTGGGGGAGAAACTTTCTCTTGAAGACTCCAGTCAGTAATTCTCCATTCATTGTCTTTTCTAAAATATAGATATTCATTTCGTAGGAGAAAGCCTAAAAGTTAGCAGATCCCCTTCTCAGTTTAAAGCATTCTGATAACTTAAGCTTCCAATTCCATCATACTTGGAAAGATCAGATTATAAAAGACAAATCTACATACCCATCAGTTCTCAAAACCCCCATGGTACAGGTGGATCCATTCACATACTACACAGAGCTTTACTTGAAAAGCTTCCAAAGTATTCCTTTTCCCTTAAATTCACTGTGGAAGTGTAACTCCAGGGACTCTAAGAGGATTTCTGACCACCATTTTAACATCATATAAAATACGTTTTCTGTTGTACCGATAATACATATAACAATATACATATATCCATGTAAAACTTGTTCTGGTTAGCTAGTGCCACTCTTACAGGAATATACCACAAATGGGATGGCTTTAACAAACAGGAGTTTATTCTCTTGCAGTTTGGAGAGTTTAAGTCTGAGTTCAAAGTGCCAGGCTCTAGGGGCTGGGTGACAGCCCCTCAACCTTGGGCTTCTGCTCTGACTCCTGCTCCCAGCCCACTGGAGCTGGAGGCTTTTCTTTACTCAACTGCTGGCTGCTGAGGCTGAGAAGCCCAAGGTTGACAAGTAAAAAGGTGCATTCTGGATATTACCAAACCACATGGCAGGCCATTAATTCAAGTCCACTGACAGTCCCAAGGTCAGCAGAGCATGGCAGGCTGCTGAACAACGACACGGCTACATGCAGGGTTCAAGTGTATCATAAGTTACAGAGTATTCCCAAAGCTGCTTCTTATATACTGGAAACAGACCAGCTGCTCCAATAGATTCCACCATAGAGTTAATTACCAATCTTCCCTTGGGGAATAACTCCATTCAGCTGCCCAGCCACTCAACCAGGCCCAGCCAAGTTGACACACAAACTTAACCACCACAAAACTCAACCAATAAACTTAGCCCATTTGCAAACTGCCCTAGCTTTGACTTCATTATCTTTCTGCCTCTGTGTAAAAACTAAAAAATCAGTGACGAATCATTCAGCCAAGTAGGAAAAATCAGGGGACATCAGGGTTGTGTATCCATGGGAATCTGTGTGCAAAATTACTCATCACTTACGCAGTATTCAGGTGTTGCATTTTCATCTCCCTGATTATGGAGAAATCAATGTAATTCTGGAAGGAAAAGGATGCAGCCTTTGGATATAGCAAAGGAAATGGGAGTCTGGAAATCTTTAAGCAGAAATGTATGCAGCCTGAATGTTACCATGGATTGGACAATTAAGCGGGCTGTGTTTATGGAACTTGTGTTTTTATATTGGTGGTCTGCATCTCCAGCTTCAATGCTGCCAATGTGTAGGTTTATGTTTTTGCACAAAATTGGCCCACAGTGAGCCCCTCGCCCCTCCGCTGCCTGATGAGGCTTCAGAGCTGGGTCGCAGCCCTGGTGGTGGGACACAACAGATGAGGGAGGCACGCACCTGACCAGGTCGATGACCCGCTCCCTCGGCGCAGCACTGACTGGCTCATCATTAATCATCACAATCTGATCTCCCGGGATCAGCTTTCCTTCTGAGGGGCCACCTGGAGACAAATGAGAGTGAAGCACAAGGGAGAAGACCATTATTAACCCATCGACAGCCTCCTCTCCAGAGAGATCATCATTCACTGTGAGCGAATGGTGCTATCAGCGAAGACAAAACTAACCTGCACCTGGTGTTCACTACAAGGTCTTTCTCAACTCTGGCAGCCCATTAGAAAGCATTGGGGAGCTGCTGCTGCTGCTTCTTTTTTTTATTTTAATGATTTATGTTATTTCTGGTGTTGAAACTATACATAGCAGAACATGCACCAATTCAGTAATTTCTCCATGTACATTTCAGTGACATCGATGCCATCCTTCAAATTGTACAACCATTCTCACTCTCCTTTTTGGAATTATTCCTTCTGCAGTAACAAATTCATTGCCTCCTAAGTTTCTTGTCTAACCTTTCCAGTTGCTGTTGTCAATTTCGTCCCATATAGATAGTTCTTTAAAAGAACACAATGCTATAAAGGCACACATTCTTTACTAATTATGCTAAACTAGTGATTGCTTTAAAGAAGACCTCAGGGGGTATTTTTGGTTTACAGTTTAAAGAGTATATCAAAGGAATAGTTTTGGGGGTTCATCCAGCCTCAATGGCTCCAGAATATCTGGATTCTGTGAAAATTTGAAATTCTGTTTTGCATTTTACTCTCTTTTGATCAAGATTCTTCTATAAAATCTTTGATCGAAACAGAACTGGGGAGCTCTTAACCAATTCCAATGGTCAGGCTATATTCAGGCCAAGTAAATCAGAATCTTTGGGGAAGGAACTCAGGTATCAACATTTTTCTAAATGATCCCAGGCAAGGTTGAGACTCAATAGCCTAGTAGATTCTCAAAGTCTAACATGTGTGAGTCAACTTTTGCTTCAGTAGCTCTAAAAAGGCCTGGGATTCTGCATTTCTAGCAAGCTTCCACGAGATGCTGATGCATCTGGTCAACTGACAACACTTGAGTAGCAAGACTCTCAGAAGATATCCTCCAACAGGTGGCCAATCGGTTGTGCTGATGCTTTGCAGCTAAAGCTGCAGCCATTTGAGCACACCTGTATCTGAACAAAGTTGAATTTATTTACTCAACACAGTGAGGGAAATCTTACATTGTGCAAAACCATAAGACATCTCGGTAGAAGGGTGATAGCCAGTTGTCACTGAGTCAATTCTGACTCATGGTGACCCTCTGTGTGTCAGAGTAGAACGGTGTTTCACAGGGTTTCAAGGGTTGATTTTTCAGAAGTGGATCACCAGACCTTTCTTCTGAGGTGTCTCTGGGTGGACTTGAAACTCCAACCTTTCAGTTAGCAGATGAGTGTGTTAACCATTGGCAGCACCCATCTACTCTAAAAGAAAGGACTTACTTAGCCTTGTGTTAAGTGCTTTTGAGGAAGATTCTAGGAAATGGGTTTGTTCTAGACTAGATGCTGTCAGGAAGTGGGGATAATGCTATCAGATATGTATGTATGTGTGTGTGTGTGTGTGTATGTATATATATAT